AGAAGAAGAATGGCAATTGAAAAGCAAAAGGAATAAAGGGAAGAAGTCCAAAGAAAACGACTCGGGGGGAGACAGCCTCGGCCTAAATAGCCTAACGGCGAAGTGACCAGTAATCCCCCAAAACTACTACTGCTACGGGTATTAGCCCACCCGACCACAGGTCACTGACCCACATCAGGGCCTAGGGGGGGCGAAAATATAATAATAATAATAATAATAATAATAATAATAATAATAATAATAATAATAATAATAATGATAATATTTAATAATAATTAATAAAAATATAGAAAAAATATTACCAAAAAATAAAAATACTACTAATAATAACCATAAATAAATACACAAACGAAAAAATAAATCGTGAGTGAGAAACAATATACATTATGTATGTTGTGTTGTCAAAGTAAGAGAAACAATTGAAACCCTGCAATTGTGTGTAAATGAGGCAGAAAGTCAGATCAGCAACCTGGGACTTGGTCACATATGACAGCAGTCTACCAATACAAGTAGACAACACATTGTGCTACCAATATCTTCCCATGTGGTAGTGTGGGGTACGAGATGCTGGTTCACACTCAGGATGGGATGGAGAAAGGAAACTCACAATGTGCTCTCTGTATACATATTGAATCGGATGTACAATGCAGCTTGATGCTGGGAAGTGGCAGCATGGTTACAAGCGTGATGTAGAGAGAGCTGGCTGGTGAGGATGCTCAGAGGAGGACCAGCTTGTGGGTCGCCATGCTCGCCGGCGGAAACGAGGGCCGCCAGGCAGGAGCGGAGGAGGAGGAGGAGGTGTTACTTGAAGACTGGCTGTAGGTCGAAAGAGAGGTAGGTCACCACGAGGTCAGGTCTTATATAGCGGGGGTAAGCGTGGCTTAATAGTTGACCTCCGTCATGTAAGGCGGCGCTGGTTGACCTACACCACGAGGCATACACTGGGGAATTCGTGGGGTCGGCTACTCAGCGACAAACAGCGTTTGTAGGGGAGGAATCCACTACAGTAGTACCTTGTAGTGGACGTCTCCCCTACAACTGCCTACAACTGCGTAGCGGCGTCACCAAGCTGCTACCATCCTCCCTAGCAACCAACCAGATGTTACCGTATCTTAGCAACGGAACTAGTCACCGGCGACTTCTCGGGTTTTCCCTACATGACTCATAGCGGCTGCTGCTGGGTATATAAGCTCTGTCTCTCCATTGAGATTGATTCTGACCATTCTTCTTGAACAAGCAACACCTCCTCCTCCGCCGCTGCCTGGCGGCCTTCGCTTCTCCTCGCCTGCCTGGCGGTCCTCGCTCCCGCCAGCGAGCATGGCGACCCACCAGCTGTCCTTCTCTGAGCTTCCTCACCAACCAACTCTCATTCTGCCCATCTTCCTGAACAAGCAACACCTCCTCCAGCAAGCTCCACGCTGGCCCCTCACCACACGGCACCTCCAGCACCAGACTGTCTATCATATAACTTATATATATAAGAAAACCACATTAGAGTTTCCTTCCATCCTGAGTGCTAGACAACATTAATATCTCGATACCCCTACAACCTCCCTGTTTGTTGAGTACAGTACTCAAGTAAATATATTTAATTACTTTACAACGCTAACACCACACACACACTACGACTACGACTTTGCTGTCACTCAGAATCGAGTATGACGATCAACCAGCTATGATACAATGATACGAGTTATTAAGGATGTCACCTTCGTTGGTGAGCTCTGAGGTGACTCGAGAGGCTGATACAGGACCAGCAGGGTCGTTCACAGATATTGCACGTGTGGGGGGCGACGTCTACTAAGGCAGAGGCGGCGACAGCGTCTTTCCGGTGTTGGTGCTTGTCTGCCTCGGTTTGCAGTCGGGCTAACTCGAAAGTATTGACACCTACTAGTGTGGTACTTCTCCAATCGTCACGTTGTGGAGTAATCGTCTGCCAGGTGAGGGGGGTCGATTTGGCACGTTTTCAGGTTTGTCTTAAGAATATCCTTATACCTTTTCAGTTGCCCGCCAGTGTTACATTTACTATTCGTAAAGTAGCTGCTTTGGCAGCCTACTGTTGTCCATGCAGATAACATGGCCAGTCCAACATAATGGTAGCCTCGATGCTCCTACAGTTGGTGTCAGTGAGAGTACTGGCATTTGTTCTCTTGCCTTTCCAGCGCACTCGGAGGATGGAACGTAGACTATGTTGGTGAAAGTTTTCAAGTCTCTTGAGGTACCTCCTGTATGTCACCCATGTCTCACTGCCATACAGCAGGGTGGGGAGGACCACTGCTCGATATACGTGTAACTTGTACATAATTTTTGTTCCCTACAGCTGAAGACGGAGTCTGCCAAAGGCTTCAGAAGCATATCTGATCAAATATTGAATTTCTTCACCGATGTCCGTGGTGGTGGACAGGTGGGAGCCGAAATACTGAAAGTGGGGAACATTAGAGAGGGTAGTACCGTTAAGCTGGATGGATGGATGGTGGTGGGCGTGTGGCTGAACCAGAGGCAGGCTGAAAGAGAGTCTTACATACATTCACCTCAAGGCCGAAGTGTGCATACGCATCTGTGTAGGTGTTCAGGATCTCCTGTAGGTCGCGTTCAGTGTGAGCGACAAGGGTGAGGCCGTCTGCATACTAAAGTTCAGTAATGGAAGCTGCCGACACCTTTGTTCCTGCCTAGAGTAGTCTTATATTGAAAAGACACTTCATCCGGTACTGGATGTCCACCCTACCGGCTAAATTGGCACTGACACGAGTAAGGAAGACAGCCGAGAAAATTGATTTTTTTTTTAGGGGATTAGCCCACCCGGGCAAGGGTCACTGACCCACATAGGGGCCTGGGGGGGGGGCGAAAATGTTTTAATAATAATAATAAAAATAATAATAATTATAATTCATATTAAAAAAAATTATGATGAAAAATACAAAATTAAAAATAAACTAATAAAATAATAACAATAATAATAATAACAACACTAATAATAATAATAATAATAATAATAATCATAATAATAATAAAGAACCATAAAGAAATGCAAAAATTAAAAATATCAATAGTGAGAAACAATATATGTAAGAGAAGCAATTGAGACCCCTACAATTTTTGTGATGCCATATAGCAGCAGGGTTTACCATTAGACAGTACATTATACTTCCAATATCTTCCCAGACAGTAGTGTAAGGGGGGGAGGGGTTACGACTCAAGCTCCACCCTTGTAAGAGCGGGGGCACACTACTTCTGCTGAACCACCGAGGCCACCCTTACCCTACTTCTCTGTCTTAGTTCCTTCAATAGTTCTGTCTACATATTTCAGTTCAAGGTTACTACATAACCTCAGTTGTTTGGTAGCATGGCGAGGGCCGGCACATGGGTACTGTAATTCTGGTATCAGGGACACTGGACAGAATAAACGTAGATACTGGGATGAAATGAATACCCCTAATACTCTAAGAAAGGGTTTATTAACAAAATCAAAGTAGGGGAAGAGATATCATTAACATACAACTCCTCGGCTTTACTCGGATACTGTACTCTTACTTCTCACAACCTTACTGGTGTTACATTACATTACATACAGTTACCAGGAACAACCCTTGGCTTCTCTTACTGCCAATCTCACACATTACTGGTGCATGTCATCACATACATGACAAACTTACATATGATACTTCACTAGACTGTTGTTAGTACATATGAGGATGCACTCACAACACAACACGTTAATACTGAAACCAACAAATTATATGGGTTCACTACCCAACATGGGATAATTATATTCCAGAATTATCCCCAAACATATACAACAGACACTGTGGACCATATAACTTCCAGGCGTGTCCCAGGGTAGGACACTGGTGTCTCACAACTGATGACCGTTGTTATGGTCGGGTGTAGTCGGACACGTGTTGACAGTCTGGGGTCCTTGATGTTGTGATTGAAGACTGGAAGAGAGATCCGTTTCTCATCCATCTTGTGTGAGTGCATCACTCGACGTGTCACCAAATGTAGCGTAGTGTATGTGGTGCAGTTAGTCAACTTTCTTTTTCTTTAGGACCACATACACACGTAACTTAAGGGAGATGTCGCACTCAGGACGAAGGTGTGGAAGGAAACCCAGAAGAGAGTAACTCCCCTTCTATTGTATGTACAATGCAGTAGGATGCCGAGGAGTTGCTGTGTTGCAGAGGAGCTTCTGGAGTGGAGGTCTTGTCGGCTTGAGAGCGTGGAGTAGAATGACCTTCCTGATCATGATGTCTTTAGCTAAGATTGGGAAGAAGGAAGGGGTAGGAATCAGGGGGGGAAAATAGAAGTACAATAGATGTAGAGTTTAAATGAATCTGGGTTCAATCAGATCGTTGCAGAGTTTTTTTCTTGTTGTTTTTTCATTTTGTTTATCATTGGGTCGTCAGACCTTTGTTTTTTGTTTTCGTTTTATCTGCTTTAACCTTTAAGTTTGCATGGGTTTTGTTGCAGTTTCTACCTTTCTGTGACTACAATAATTACACATGGTTTTAATGTTAGTAATATAGAAGAAACCACTAGTAAAGATAGTGCTGTCTATAGAAAAGTTGTGTCGAGGTGATTGGAGAATCTTACCAGGTTCTCTTGGAGCTGGTGGATTTTTTTTTTTTTTTTTTAAGAATCTTGTATTAGTAACACGGGAGTAGATTCGTGCAAAGTGGTTAGAGAAAAATTATTTATAAAGTGGTTAGAGAGTCCTGCCAGGTTCTCTTCTGGAGCTGATAGGGGCCTCCCATCTTTAATAAAGAAGGAAAAGTTGGTGGAGAGTCCTGCCAGGTTGGAAAGCCCTTTCTACCCAGTAAGGCAGGGGGTATTTATACAATCCTGCCTACTCAGGAATTGGGAAGCAATTTTTTCAAAATTTTTGGATAATCATCAGTAACATCCAGCTCCATGATGCAAGACCACAGTTTGCTTTCTTGAAAAGACGGCTATTGACTTGATTACAAAATCTGTACCTCATTTGCAGGGTTTATTAAAAACTATTTTCCGGTTTTTATTTATATTTGTCAACAAAGTTCTTTGAAAATATATTTACAATGTCAAAATCAATAAATTTCTTAAATAAAATAACATAAGGATGACCTACACTTAATGTAGAGGTACAGATGAAACACTGTGTCTAGTACAGGTCAACATAACAATATTTACTACGATGACTGGGTCACTACCAATTTCTTAACTTCAACTATCACAAACCTTGTTATACACTTGAAATACAGGTATAGCAAACCCAGGAGAGTTAGAACTGGATGTCAGTTGCTAAACTAGGGTAAGTTCATACCCTTCCAAATATACAGTTACTATTCAAGACACAAACCACATCCTTAGTAAAAAGACACAGTGAATCAAAATGAATTCCTATACAGTACATCCAATTTAAGGAGGAACATCCGTGTATGAGTTTACATATTTGCAACAAAGCTTTCACCTTTCTTAATACTAGCTTTTAATTCTCCAATTGCATTCTCTACCAGCTTGGTTTCATATGCTGTAAGTTTGCCAAGGCCAAGATTCTTCTCCATGCCATTGGGACCAAGAACAATAGGTGTGGAGAAATAGGTTGCTTCTGTCGTATTAGATCTAGGAAAAGGGAAAAAAAATAAGCAGTGTTAAAAGTGAATTAAACAATTTTATCCAATTTCAAAAGGCAACTATAAAAAATTATTTGTATACATGCAATACTGTTATGCAATATGACACTGATCTATACATTACCTGATATAGGCACACTCCACTACACCAGCCTCTCCATTCATGGCACGAATCATAGAGAAGGCAAAGCGAGCACCAGCATAGGCCATGGACAAAGTTGCTGAGCCTGCTCCAGCTTTGGCCTTTACCACCTCAGTGCCTGCATCCTGTGAGGGAATATGAATTTCAGCATCTTATTTGTCTTAATGTTTATGTTATCTGCTTCCACTTTGCACAAGCAACTAAGTTTTCCTTAACATGCTTCCCATGTAAATTGCATTCACAATACTGTACTTAATTAAAATACTGTATAACAACCACTAATACCTATTTTATGTTTTAAGGAAACACAGAGTCAGAGAGACAACTTTATTCCTGACATTTTGCCTCGAAGGAATGAACACAAGGTCGTGGTGGCTGTTATAATATTACACTATTCCCTTAAAGCTCGTAGGGGTTAGGTAAAATGGACCCCGAGAAAGAGCAAAATTCATGAGTTTTTTGTGCCAGTTCCCTTAAGTGTGCAAATTACAGTACATATAGTATAAATAGTTATATGTACAGGTATAACATTATGTACACATATCCCTTAAACTACAGTACGAGGGTTTAAACAACAAGGCCCTTGCCCCTCCACGGATTGCACTATGGGTTGAATAGAGTGCAAAGGAGGTTGTGTACTGCGTCTGACAACTTCCACTACTGTATTGGCTGCGAGGGTCTCTACGGCCTTTACCGCTCCCCTCCCTGCCTTGGGGAATGAGGGGGGAAGGGAGGGAGAGGGTAATGCACAGTGCCATTGTTACATGTAATGAAATTATAAAAGTTGTGTAAAAATCATTCCAATACTCTAATGTGGCTTAAAAATAAAGAAAATATAATATATGCAGGAGATTCCCTTTAATGCACTCCCCCAAGAGCTGATGTTTATCTTGCCTCCAGGCAGTCACACAAGACTCTCACTGGATGAATGTTGTCTTAATTCCCATGTTAATGTGTCAGGAACACACCTCAACATCACACACACACACACACACACACCCTCAAACATTTATTATTATATATTCTTACATGATCAGTCTCTTATGGTGTACGTTTTATCATCGATATAAAATATTAAATACTATTATAGAAAAAAATAGTAATTTGCTTAAAAATTAAATGACAAGCCAAATACTGTGATCAGGTAAAAATAAGTATTTGACAGTATATGAAGGGTATTGATATTCGTAAGCTCAAATTATTACTGTATCTCTTAATTAACTTTTTTGAAGTTAAACAATTGATTTATTAACACCAAGCCTGTATATAAATGATGTGGGTGTCGTCATTTTGAGGGAGGGAGGGTTGGGACGGAAGGCTCCTCAGTTATCAGATGGTTGAGGGAGGGAGGGTTAGGACGGAGAGGCTCCTCAGTTAACAGATGGTTGAGGGAGGGAGGTTGGGACGGAAGGCTCCTCAGTTATCAGATGGTTGAGGGAGGGAGGGTTGGGACTGAGCTCCTCAGTTATCAGATGGTTGAGGAGGGGAGGTTGGGACGGAAGAGCTCCTCAGTTAACAGATGGTTGAGGGAGGGAGGGTTGGGAAGGAAGGCTCCTCAGTTATCAGATGGTTGAGGGAGAGGGAGGTTGGGACGGAAGACTCCTCAGTTATCAGATGGTTGAGGGAGAGGAGGTTGGGACGGAAGGCTCCTCAGTTATCAGATGGTTGAGGGAGGAGGGTTGGGACGGAAGGCTCCTCAGTTATCAGATGGTTGAGGAGGGAGGGGGGACAGGCTCCTCAGTTATCAGATGGTTGAGGAGGGAGGGTTGGGACGGAAGGCTCCTCAGTTATCAGATGGCTCAAGACCACAGCCACCACCACACACACACTCGTGTTCTTTATTTTTTCTTATTTTATAGTTTTATATTACATTATATTTATTTATAAGCCACATTAAAGTATTGTAATGATTTTTCTACAAAAGTTTATAGTATTACTGCTCCAGAAATGTGGAAGTAGTGAAAAATTTGGCAACAGTGCATCAGCTGTGGCCTTGATGGATGGTAAAGCATGTAACCATTGTTACAAGTAATAAAACTGTAAAGTTGTGAAAAATCATTTCAATACTCTAATGACTTAAAAATAGAAAATACATTATAAAACTATAAATTAATTAATATGAAGTGCAAGGGTGTGTATTCTGTATGGGAGGTAATCATCAACGTGGAAGCAGTGAGAAGTTTGTCAAAAGCATATCTGGCGCTGGCTGGTGAGGCTTATTTCAGTTTAAACCGCCTCTGCAGTATGAATATCTGAACACTCACCACTCATCCTGGATCTTCTTGCTATGATGACAATGATTAGTACAGATCCCATATAATGAGTGATATGATGATGGGCATAAGACAATATATTAAATATGAAATAACAAACAAACGAATATGAACTAACAAATACTCTACTGTATACCCATACTCTTGATCAATGTCTCCGCCTCATGACCCGCTTGCTGTGTGTATGGTGAATGATGTTTATGATGATGATTATGAAGCTGATGACAATTAAGTTGATGGTGCTTGGGATGATGTTCACTGCCCTCTCATCTTGGAAATTCATACAAGTAGGGGACACTTTTCTTTCTCTAAATAGTGGTGTCAATTTAGAAAATTCGTTAAAGTGAATTTTTGTAACACGAACGTTTGCATCTGAAGGATACCTGTACACCATCTTCTTTCCTCTTATGCTGTAGTAACAATAGTCTCATCACCACCCTCTTCGTTCCTCCTTCAACCTCTACCATTCTTCCTTGACTCTCTTAACATACTGCCCCTCACATCTAGAAAGTGTCTTCATAAAGAAGTACTTTCTACATGATTTATTGATTTATTGGAAAAACACATGTAATATACACCATGTTTTTACAATTTTCTTCAAAGTGGTTCTTTACTCAGTGCCTTCCAATCTTCATAATACCGGTACACTAATTCACTTCTTTTTCACACTTTCATCACCCCAATCTTAAACAACTAACAGCTTGTCACATTCCACCCTCATAAACCTTTACATTTGCTTACCTTATAAAACACAAAAGTGAGGATGATGGTTATTGAGAAAGATTAGATGTACTGATGCAAATATTGATGAAAAAGAGATACAAATACTGTATGGATAAAAATTAAAATACGAGGGATTGATCCTCCATTCATGTTCCATAGCCAACTGGTACTGTATAAACAAACAAGTCTACACATTTAACCCCAGGACCCGACACCATTGACTGGAACTTATTAAAAAAAAACAGGGGACTTTGCATCATTCCTTCAATTAAAAAAGTCTGGGAGGAGAAAGTGAACACTAGAGGCCAAGAATCTTTGTTGTTTTATTAACGTGTGCACCTCTTAAACCTCTTGAGACTCCACCATAAAGCACCGTTTCATAGATTAATTCTTCAATTCCAGCGATCAGGAGGAAGCACCAAGAAGCCCACAATAAATTTGAGAAAAATTACCGAGTTGAAATTACTGTACTGTACTCTCTCTTCAGGTGGGATAGTTGATGTGACCTCAACCAACATTTAAATTGAGAATTCCCCGAAACACCCCGTCATGAATAACAGAATATCCTCTCACAAGATTTACACTAGACATGCACACCCTGATTAAAACTACAGAATGATGGGTTCAATTATTCCCCATGGAGTTTTAAGACTTCATATATAATGCACAAACCTGGATTCTTTCAGTGAGTGCCTTGAGTTGATCTTCAGGGAACTCAACTGAGGGAGTCGCTTGCGAGATGAGGGGAATGATGGTGATGCCTGCATGACCACCAATAACCGGCACATTTACTGTAGTGGGGTCCAAGCCCTAAGATGATGGGTAGTATATTAATCTTTATTCTACATATAAAGAATCATTTAGGTATTTTTTATGACATTTACTAAAAACTCGGTCTACTGCAACAATATCAATAAAATATCTATATTATTGCCAACCATCACTAATACACACATCACCAAATCTGGCAAAATGGGAAACAGAAATACCTTAAGCTCGCCAACAAAGGTGTTTGCACGAACAATGTCCAGAGTGGTAACTCCAAATATGCGGCTTGTATCAGCACCAGCTTTCTTGTATACTTCTGCAGCAATTGGTACTGTGCTGTTAACCTAGAAAATAAACACAAGATATATGTAAAAGAGAAATACAGTATACAAGACAAATTAATCAAATATTTTTCTATCAGTGTGTATTAAAAGTCAAAATAATGAAATAGAATTGTTGGGGATTATGGGAAGCATAATGATAGGGAAGAAGGTTTTCAATTTTAGACCAAGATTTCATGGGTTGATATTCCAGCAGGTAAGATGACTGGCTTATGGTAAAACCCAGAGAAAGAAAGGAATATGTTGAACTAAAATGAACATACTGTATAGCATTCCGTACTTAAGAGTCTGTCTAAAGGACAAGTATTGTTCGGTAATATGAACACACCAAGTTTTGTTCAAATCCATTTACATTTATTTTAGTTATTGCACTCAGTGTAAACAAACACAGAACGTTTCCAGCAAGGAATAAAACTAAAAAATTGTATTTTCTTTTTAACAGCAAAATACATAAAAAAATAAATAATAATTAGACCAGAGAACTTACAGGATTGGAGATGATACAAATCATTGCCTTGGGGCAGTTCTCAGCACAGGCTTTTGCCAGGTTGGCAACAATGGAAGCATTAGTGTTGAACAAATCATCACGGGTCATGCCTGGCTTGCGAGGAACTCCAGCAGGGATCACGACCACTTCGCATCCTTTCAGAGAGTCCTGCAAAGTAATAAATGGGTCTTCTAAAAAAAAATAGGATTTTAAATGGTACTTTACACAGTACTGTATAAGAAAATCCCACAATTTATATTGATTAAAGAAGAGTATCTTTTACCTACACTTAATTAAAAGGTATGAAAAATAAATAGATGTGAAGATTTTGGAAAGAGGAAATTATAAGTACTACAGTAGAACCTAGATACACCAGAATTCTTTTCTTTTTTAGGACTCTTGAGGCGACCCTCTATTCACCAGAAATATTTATAAAATTCCAGAAAATCCATCATCATTCTAAATGGTTTGTGTGTTTATAGGTGTGGTTGAACATCTGTGCATGGGTGTCGTGTGACACATGTCCGAGTTCTGGCTTCATATGCATCATATCAGAGTGCCGCACCTCACTATCTACACTCGTTTAAGTTAACATTTCATGTAAAGTACGTTTTGTCTGCAACGGGGATACTCGAGGGCTTTTAGAAATGGGTATAATTTAGTAGAGTACTGTACATATTTAAGAATTGAATTTTTGAGTTTCCGTGAACAGCTAGTTTATTGTGCATCCCATACTCATCTTGTGAGCGGTAGCACAAAAAAGGATTACAGAGTAGAAACAACAAAGGGTGTTTATAAGCCCCCGATAGTCAAGATATTATGGCATTAAATGTTAAGAGAATTCCTGGTACAGTGTTTGCTTAGGTTAGTACATAGAATTGTGATTAGGTACTAGATGAGAATTATGGATATAGCCTTGGTATAACGGCTATCTTAAGAAACGGATAAAATTACTGTATATAGAATACTGTACTGTACCTACTTTAAGAAATACAGAAGGTAAAAAAAAAAAAAAACTGAAAATAAAAAAACTTTGTTCACTGAATACTGTACAATAGTGGTCTCATCAGATCTACTGTAGGCCTAATGAAGGCTGAGATATTGCATATGTAAACAGGCTGGAGGGAGGGCGGGCCCCCTTTGCCAGGTTATTTATCGATTCATTATTATATTCTCATAGTATTAGCCTCTTACGGTGTAGAAGTCATCATAATTAATGTAACACCTTTAATAATAGAAAAACACACAATACAGCTCCTCCCCGACTTACGACGGGGTTAGGGACCCAAATCCAGGTAGTAAGTCGAAAATGCTTAAATAATACATAGAAAATCTAAAATGGGTCTCTCTTTTCTTCTCAGCACCAAAAAACTTGCAATTTTAAGCTTGGCAACCATTTTAAAGTGAATTACAAACGAAAATTTTGCCAGTACATTGCGCAATCACTGACGTTGGGACTCGAAAATATGTAATTTGAGAAAATTTTGGTACGATTGAGGCAGGTCGTAAGTGTGGGTGGTCGTAAGTCAAGTAGGTTGTAAGTCGGGGAGGAACTGTATTTTGTAAGGACTTGAAAATAAAAGGATAAGCTGTATCGGAAGGTATTCGCTCAGGATACATTCCGACAGCTTTCAGCAAATCAGTTGACAAGGTCAGTATAATATAACATACTGTACAAGTAATATTTGATATGGAATTACTTTCCTAATATTATTATTTACTACTTTGGAGTAATACTATACATTATTTGATGACTTGATTTGGCTAATTGTGCACTTAAGACAACTGATTAATGAATAAATCAGGGAATATGCAGATACACTACAAAATTATTTATTAAATGCTGAAGCCATGTTGTAGTAAGCACGAGAGATGGAGAGCACTGTTAACATGGTGAGGGAGAGAGAGCGATCACCTGTTCACACTTTGAAAGCAAGTATTGTAGTTCAATATAGCACAATGATTCTTCTGTGGTTGTGTGAGATTCTTTTTTGGAAAGGATTATTTTATGATAATGTTATATTTACCTGTCACCAAATGAACCTTAATAATACGTTTAGGAATTATGGTGAAATAGCATAAAGACACGTGAAAGTAGTCCTGAGGGAGGGAGCCACCCACCACCTGGTGCCTGCTGCTCCTCGATACACTCATCTCTGTGGTTACCAGTATTATACTGTATATAACACTTTACAGTATGAAATACTTGTATCAAGTGCCATTCAAAAATTATGTAGTGCAGAGGGGGGTGGGGGGGAATGAAGCCAGGTGTTACAGTAAAAAATAAAATAAAGGCTAAATAATACAGATGTAATCTTTGAAAGTCTTTAATACTAAAAGTGTACTAAGAATTACAGTACAAAGGAAATATATGTACCGAGGTCTTTCTATACCTTGTCAAATCCATGCATACAGAGTATTCTATTTTTTTCAAATAAAGGTGAAAGCAAGTTATACAACTTTAATAATAAAAGCAAATATATTTTATGCAGTACAGTCTCTCCTCGACTTACAACAACCCGGACATACGACGGCCATGGTCGTATAAAACATTTTTCACATTACGTATTTTCGAGTCCCGACGTTAGTGATCGCGCTGTGTACGGACAAAAATTTTGTTTGTAATTCCCTTAAAATGGCTGGCAAGCGTAAGAGTGAGAGTCCTTGTGGTGCTGAGAAGAAAAAGAGACACCCATTTTAGAATTTCTATATTATTTTTGCCTTACGACCAATTCGACTTACGACCTGGTCTTCGGGACAGAACCCCGTCGTAAGTCAAGGAGAGACTGTATATTCCTGATATCTGTATAATGTTTGCATGTCAAAAAAACAATATATTTCTGAAAACTCATTTCTCAGTCTAAATATTTAGGTGTCCAGGGGTGGTTCAAGTGTTGTCCCAGATCTAACAGTCTTCCTGCCACACTGGTTCTCTACTTTGTATAGTCATGTTTGGTGTACCTTTGTTAGCCTTGATCTCAGTTGGCATTTCAAGTCACTCAGTATCCAATTCTTCCTCTCCATGTGCAGCTCATACTCTTCTTTTTCCAGGTACTTGACAACACACATGAATTCCCTTTGTCTCTTCGCAGCTAATCTTTGAGGTCACAGCCTTTCTGTTGGAGCACTCACAACAGAATGGCTACTGCGACTTGAGCAGTGTTTCTTAATATATGAAGTCATGGATTTGACTGAGGAAAAGTATTTGCCACATGTTCCACAGATGTGCTTCTGTAGCTCATTCTTCAGACTAGGACATGCCAAATCATATGGTAGGCCTTTTGGAAAGTTTTTAACTGCCCGAGCTGGTAGCTCAGATTTGTCCATTGCTAGATTGACAGAGTGGTGGATAGTTGACACTCAAATCATCAAGACAACATAATAAGCCATCTGCTGTCTGTACAAGGGGAAGTGGTGATGGCAAGAATCTGTTGGTAATAACTGAAAAGTAAGAACTTCTTGGTGCATCACAGCAAGCTGTATCTTGGCATTTGATGACATGTAGAAGATGCCGACTCTCTTGCACATGTTTTGCGTACCAGGAAGGACTCTTTTCAAGGATATTTGATTCACTTCCTTCCTGTGGATCAACATATTCAGCAACTGTTGGGTAGCCATCAATAACCATAGATGACCAAATGTCTGCGAGAATTTTCCCTGCATGGGCAAAATTGTGCTCTTCCAATTCTTCATCCACAGTTTCTTCAATAGAATTTAGATGGCTTCCAAAATGATCCTGAGGTAAGATGACTCCAGCTAGATCATGGCTAAGTGGGGCCATACATCATTCAACTCTGTCAAATGCCCTTCGACCTGGTGCATTTGTTGATTTAAAGAAAATATTCTTTATTTACAGCAATTAAACTTAAAATTTTAGTGTTGAAATTGTTTTTGAATCCAACATGGGTCCCAAGAAATCCAGAAAAGTGATTTCAATCCAGGTGAAACAAGAAATAATTAAGAAACATGAAGAAGACATAAGAACAAATGTGCTTAGCAAAGAATATGGAAGGTTGACATCAACTGTGTCGACAATCCTTTCACAGAAAGACAAATTCAAGGAAGTGAAAGCGAGAGACAAATCTACCAGAGTGTTTAAAGGTAGATCCCTAATACCAGAAACAGAGAGGTTACTTCTCATTTGGATTAGGGGAAAAAAATTGAAAGGCGATTCAGTTTCGACCGAATTTATTTGTGAAAGAGCCAGGGAGATGTTAGAGGCTGACATTGGTGAGGAGGAAAAGGAAAGTGATGGCCTTATGTCTACTTCAGATTTGAAAGATGTTGTTCACTACTGGGAGAAGTTCAGGAAACTGGCTTCAAGGCACCCTAATGTGGAAAAATCAGAACTAGCTTTGTGTAATGTGGAGGACACAGTGGTCTCCTTCAAACATCAGTTAATGATGAGGAGAGATGCCCCACAAACAAAAATTGAGTTTTTTCACTAAAAGGCAGCGGGAAGAAGATGCTAGCCCTCAGCCTTCCACTTCAAGCAGGAGAGGGGATGTTCCTGCTGGAGAATCTGTCAGTCCAGAGGTTCCTGACATTTTCATGGAAGGTGACTCACCTTCCAAGAAGCAGTAAAATACTTCTCCACCCCCACTTCCTTCTCTTTTCCCTTCTCCTCCTCCTCCACCTCCCACTTCAAATTCACATCATCATCATCCAGGAGCCTTCTACATACACACCTCAAAGTAAGTGTACTTTACTACCTTTTTTGTTGACTTTATGCAATTTTTGGTGAGCAGGAACCAATCACCCAAAAACCCATTGAAACTATGCTTTCAGTTGACGAGCAACCTTCTGGAACGAATTTTGTTCGTTAACCGAGGGACCACTGTAGTATATTTATCATCACTTAATAAATATTAGTGTAGTGTACAGTAGTATTATGTATCTGCATATACTCTGGTTTATTCATTAATCATTTATCTAAGTGTACAAGTAGCCAAACTGAGTCATCATATAACACTCAAAGATAGTAAATAACGTTGTTAGGAAGGTATCCTCATATCACATACTATACAATGTGTTATAGTGACCCCTGTTGTGAGCTGGTCTGCTGAAAGCTCTCATGAATACATCTTGAGTAAATGCAGCATTGTATTTTTTCTCTATTACTGAAGATGTTATATTAATCATGATGAACAATAAACCACAAGAGAATATAATATTGAATCAATAAATAAATAAACCTGGTGAATGTGGCAACACCTGATCAGGCCCAACCTGCCCAAGTGTCTTAGTTCTCACTAGGCCTATAGCAAATCTGATTAGACCACTGTACAGTATTCAGTAAGTTTGGTCCATTTCATAAGGTTTATTTTGTGAATCTTCCATTTTTTTTTTACCATTTCTAGTGACCAATGCATCGCAGAGTGCGAAGAAAGCTTATTCCAATATATTGAAGTATGATTTATCCAGGTTTTACTACAGCATATACTTGTATTTTTTTTTATTTGCTTATGTTGAAGAGCAATCAGTTATGAAGCCAAATATATATGGGTTATGATATTTTTTTCTCCTTTTTTGGGGGCGGCAGCGGGGGGAGTGATAAAGCAAAATATATATCAACGGTGCACTGTCTCGCCTGCCCTGGGGGCCTCAGAGATGTGATCTTGGAACTGGAAATTTTAAAACTTATCTCGTGCACAAGAAGGTTAAGTGCCAAATAATTTATTTAATTGGGAATTAATGGTAAATAAGTTATAACGTATACACTGAGTTACTGTCCAACAAAAATCTTATCAATATGCCTCATTGGTGTCAAAAATAAAGGTTAAAGAAGGAAAAATAAATATTATCCAACACTTTTCTTCTGTTTCACAGTTTCGTAGACTGAGTTGAGTACTTGATTGTACAGAAGTATAGTGTCATTAACAGTATCATTTGCTTACCCTAGCATTTTTTTTTTCACAACATGTAACTGGATACAAGTCTAAACCAAACAACAATTAATACTCACAGCAAGCTGGTCTGGGCCAACATAGCCAGTAACCTTGGCAGGAGACTCAATGTGAGACAGATCAGCTGCAACTCCTGGGGTGTGGACAATATCATACAGTGAAAGTTCTGTCACAAGAGAAGAGTTCTTCAACAAGAGTGAGAGTGGCTGTCCAATGCCTCCACTCGCACCCATCACTCCGACCTTCTTGTTGGCCTGTAAACATATAAAGCTCCCTTAGTGTGATCTTTATAATACACAATGATTATGAAATTGTGTTCAGAGAAAAAAATAAATGTAATATTCTTAAGAACTATTTTAATAACCAACTACTTCACAAAAATGTTTCTTACCTGAAGATCTATAACCAGGTGGAATACAGCAATTGCAATTTTCTTAAACTATGGCTATTCATTCAGATCCATATATGATTCCCCAGAATAAGCATACAAATAAAAATCTCGTCAAGTTGTCTCTCTCAATGACCGAGAAATTGTGCTCATCTTATTTTCTCTTGCTCGGGGTTAGGTTAGATTCCTCGGGTGAAGGAGAACATGAATCCATGACAAACTAAGAAAAATCACCCAAATAAAATTTTATCCGAACACTGAAAACACCGCCACCATCACATACTAAATACGAAAAACATGAAGGAAAGCCTTTTATAGTTTCAGGATTTTTACATGTTGGAAAAGGTTAGGTAAGGTTTTCAAAGGTTTGGTGTTTTTTGTTATTTAGTTTTATATTTTTAGTATTTTACCCCACATTTTCCCTCTACTTCAAAGCCATGTCTACTTTGAACTAATAATGTTGGTAATTGGTGGGATGGGGGAGGGGGCATATCAGTTAAAATACTCAAGAAATATTAATATGCAACAGTAACATAATAGAGGTAAATCACGTTTAATTTGCTTTGTTTTTTGGAGGGTGGGGGGGGCTCTTTCTCTCTACACTATAAGAATTGCTGGCAACTATTGTACAGTACTAGTATATATTACCTGTAACGCAAACAATTCCAAGACACCAGTAAAATTATTGTTTCGGTCATCCACCTATTTGAAATGACGGTCAGAATCATTCAAAACACATCAATAATTTCAATCTAACCTAACCTTGCGAGTTGACCAAAATGATATACCTTTTCTTCTGTGAAATTTCCCTCACAAATGACATTGATCAACTCGAGAGCCATACTAGTTGAAAATGCAAATTTCCCAGTGTCTGAGAATTGTTTCAACCACTGATTCCAACAGTTAAATTCGTAAGATTTTCCGGATGACCAAAACTAAAACTTTACCCATATTCTAATAAGTTCTGTACATTGTCGTTTCAATTTCCTTACTTATTATCATCCAAACATCTGAAAATTTGGTGCAGTTCCATAAAATCCTTCTGATGCTAACCGTCTCCCCCTCCATTACGGTACCCCTTGAATTGTGGGAGTACAATACAGTACACTATAGGCAGTGGATATTTTGCCACGACCAACTAAGTTCCTAGTAACACTATTTTACCATGAGTGCGCTCTGATTAGCTAATCGTCCATTACCGGCGAACAACGCAAAAACGATTGCTGTGTATCTATAAACACAGTTAACCAGAAGAGTTTTTCGATTTTGGTCATTTTAACCACAGATGTTCTTATCATTATAAAAGAGGTGACATTTACTAAAACCTAATGTATTATTATAGTTTTGGTCAAGAGACTATTCTTCTATAGCATATCTTCCACTTGTGATTACTTCCAGAGAAAATTGCAAGAAATTTTTGGAATATCATATTTTTTCTATGTACTTGTTGATCTCACTGTCTCAGAGCTCCTGTGTGTTTGTTAGTATATTGCATTAGGTACGCATGTGCTAGAGTCTGGCACATGAGCAGTTGTTCTTTAGAAGAATCTTACACGTTAATTGGTGGGTTTGATTTTGGATCAACCAATCACAGCTCGGTATAAGACCCCTGCCGTGACCCCCATGAATTTGAATTTATTTCCAAGATATCTGTGATGTTGATTACTTCCAAGCCATCGCAAGATTTCATGTAGAATATTATGGTAAGGACGGTAAGGTGTTAAAATTTCTCCATGAACAGTGTTGTGCCAACTGAGGTTACTTGCATGAAGTGTAACCAGCCCTGTAGCTATAAAGCTGACCAACACCTTTGGTCCAGTGCAACCTATGGATGACGAGGACGACCCCGATGACCCCAACTCAGTCTTCCGAGTCTAATTAAGGCAGGCACACAGGTGGATAGGTTAGGTTTAGGATTATTCCGACTTTTCGTTTCTATTGCAAATTACTACGTTTTTTGTGATCTTCCCCCACCCCTGGTTCCCAATGGGGGTCCTCCATTATCGTTGGATAAGGGGACATTAAAAAAAATAGTGGTTAACGGTAGAAATGAAGGCTCAGAATCATAAAAAAAAAAAAAATTCATTTTCTAACAACTTTGGAAAAATACGATGATTTTCCTGGGGGGGGGAGGGCAAATTTCTCTGAAAATAATCATAAGCGAAGAAATGCCATAGAAAAAAACCAATGGATATTTTGCCGTGACCAGTACGTTCCCACTAACACTATTTTACTGTGAGTGCGTTCTGACTGACCAATCATCCATTACCCTGCGAGCAATGCAAGAACTATATTTGACAGTGACTCTGGCGTCATCTGGCATTTATTCTGCCATGAGTCGATCGTTGTTAGCTGTGAACATACATAACCATATTTCTGTTGTGCATGGAAACTTGTTATAAAAGAGGTGACATTTACTAGACCCTAATAAAACATGACCTAACCAACCAAAGTTACCTACCTAACATTACCGAACTTCCTAGCTGGGAGGTAGACCATCAGTCATATTAAACAGAAAGTACTTAGCCAATCAAAGCACACTTACGGTAAAATAGCGAGAGCAAGAACTAAGCCAGGTTACGGCAAAATATCCACTACATACAGTATAACATATGGGTAAAATTGTAGTTTTAGCCAATATGCCCAGTAGTTTAGAAATTAGTTAGCCTGTGTGAATTTATGATCGTAGGATAAAGTACTTCAAAAATTTCTTATAAAATATTTAAAATCATAATAGAAAGTTGTCGTTTCTTTTAAAATACTGTACTTAATACATCAAAACAATAAGTAACATCAAGAAATTCAACAAACTCCTTATGGTGGTAGCCACTGTCTACACCTTTACCTAGAGGGTGCCACTGTCTACACCTTTACCTAGAGGGTGCCACTGTCTACACCTTTACCTAGAGGGTGCCACTGTCTACACCAGTGGTTCTCAACCTTGTTTGCCCCATGCACCCCTTTCACCATATGTCAGAATGTCATTCCCCCCTCCTTTCCAAGATTGTCTGCCTCAAAAAGTGCATTCCAAATACTAATATGCATATAATACTGAAAAACCTTTATTTTTTCCATATTAGTACATATACATTTACAATTTTACATGGATTATTTTTATAGTGGAGTTTTACAAATTAAATGCCAATTGAAAATGTTGATGGATTTATAGAACTTGAATAAAAGTAAAATAGTTTTTTTATATTTATAATGAATTACTTAACAGACCAAACTGAAGCATAATGCAATAAACAAAAAGTTCAATAGAATACCAGGATATTGTAAATTTGTAATTAATTTTATTCAGATGAAGATTACAATCAATGAGAAACCTGTGATTGTTTTTTCTTCGCCAATTCTGGGATACGCGGAGGAGTGCTTGAAAGGGCACAACGCAGGTCACTTTCTACCTCTAATCTACTACGTTGCTTCGTTTTAATTTGCAACAGAGTTGAAAAGCCTGACTCACAAAGATATGTCGACACAAACGGAAGCAATGCACGGATAGCTCTTTCTGCCACTTTTGGGTAGGAATAGCACATCAAGGGCCAAAATTCTGTGATTGATTTCTCATTGAACATATCTCTTGCTCCCGAATCAGTTTCCCCAAGCCTGAATTCCCCTGATTTAAAACCACTGGTCACCTTTACCTGGGGTGCCACTGTCTACACCTATACATGCAGAATTTATCCTCCACCCCACCCAAAAAAAAATAAAAAGGATGTAAAAACTTTAAAATTCATTTCTGACGTTATTATTCTTTGCTCCCTGGTTGAAATGGGGTTGGAAATATTCCAAATAAGGAGACCTAAAAATTGGGGGTGGTTAAAACAGTCGGCAGTGTATTGGCCCAAACTGCAAGAATACCAACATATATGCAGAGTTGTGCTTGGAGGGTGTACATCACCTGTGACAGATCAGCTGTACCCTTCATGAACCACCAAGGTCAACCCTCACCACCCGGCTCCCTCATCTTCCATGACTACTGTAGCCATTAAACAAAACACTGTTCACTGCATTACTTTAATAACATATCAGAATTTAAGAAATAGGAAAGTCAGTTCATGAATGGTAAGTGTAAATCTTTTTAGTAAAATCGATAGGAAGTGGGCCATCAGCCAAGTCACCATTATTGATTACAACACACACAATACACTACTATTGTCTTACCACATTGGTTGTTGAGAAGTTCTTGGTAAATTGACCAAGAACACAGATGGTCTGAGGCTTTGCAACTCGGGAAAACATTTTGAAAGTGTTTTATACAGCTGCACACCTTCCACTAGGACGGTGCAGAGGACAGACACTGGGCCGGCTGGTGCCTCAAGCGCTGGTGCCAATTTCCTTTTTAAACCATAATGAAATAAATTAAAAATATATACATAATGGTTCCATGTTATGCAGTTAAGAAAATTAATTCATCTAATTAAAATACAGATTACTATATGAGCTTAAAACAAATAATTATATTATATATCATACTATTTAATCTGGGGCATTAAACATCGCTTTAAAGATAGCGTGTCAAAAATACATGTTACTGTACTTGAATGATTGACTAGTAATCACAAATGGAGCTTCATATCACTTATTTATGTAGACACACTGGTTATTGAGACCAAAGATGTTTTGCCTGTCTTGTTTGTGTAATGATGTTCTTCTCTGTATACTTTTATCCTCTTCACCACTGATCGGCTCGTTATCTGCTTGGGCGATCGGTCACGTCTCTGTTACACACTGTTGGCAAGTACTGGGCATAAACTGGTCACGTCTCTGTCACGCACTGTTGGCAAGTACTGGGCATGTACTGGCTCCTGAATGTACCTGAACCTGCTCCAGTGCTGGTCAAGTCTGGTCTTGACCATTTGTAAGGGTCTCATTTTTTACTACTTCATTTTTATTCTATTTATTCTTCTTTTCTATACTTTATTCCTTCCGTCATATATATTGTATTTTCTGAATTTTATGTCCTTACTTTCTCTCAGTTATATCCTGCTTGGGTTATATCCTGTACCACGGATCAGTCTGGGAAAACCATGTCATTCTTAGTTTAACACTACTTACCACGGTAGCCTGCCACCACCCAGACTTGTAACAGTCCTCCTGTTTGTGCCCAATCTTCTTACAATACCAGCAGGTCCCTTTAAATCTTTCCGTCTCTTGCACTTGACCCTTTCATGCTTTAAACCAATATTACCTTGATGTCTTTCCCTTGACGTCCTTAATATGTACACATGCACACACACTGACACACACATACAATATCACACAGTAAACTCTAATTGATCAATGATATATAGCAAAGTGAAACACAAGCTCAAGGTGATCTGTTTTTGTACGTGTGCATACGGCACACGGGTGATGGTGACGCCCACTCATTTTTTTTCTTTTATACTCTTCACCACTGATTGCCTCGTTATCCGCTTGGGCGATCGGTCACGTCTCTGTCACGCACTGTTGGCAAGTACTGGGCATGCACCGGTCACGTCTCTGTTACACACTGTTGGCAAGTACTGGGCATGCACCGGTCACGTCTCTGTCACACACTGTTGGCAAGTACTGGGCATGTACCGGCTCCTGAATGTACCTGAACCTGCTCCAGTATTGGTCAAGGCTGGTCTTGAAAGAGCTCACACTCGGTGTCGTCACAACACTCTCTGGTAGATTGTTCCAAGAGTTCACAACTCTCACACCGAAAAAGTTTGTCCGCACAGTTTTCTGGACCTGCGGCTTTTTCAATCTTAAGCTGTGACCCCTTGTGGGGCGAGCGTCCGCCAGCTCCAAGTAAGGACACTCGACTGAGTAATAGTAATAATAATAATAATAATAATAATAATAATAATAATAATAATAATAATAATAATAAACGGTTTATTAATAGAGTTGCAGCCGGTGGCTGAAAATATACAGATGCTTTTACACCTCAATTAGGTCTTTCCTTGCTCGTCGGTAGTATAAGCTAGGCAAGTTCAGGGGCTCCAATCTCTCAGGGTAGCTGAGGTGCCGAAGTGCAGGCACCAATCTTGTGGCCCTCCTTTGAACATTTTCAACCAATTGACAGTCCCTAGCATATCTCGGGGACCAGACGGGGTGGCAGTACTCCAGATGGGGAAGCACTTCACTCTTGAAGATCGTTACGAGGGACGGACCGTCTAGATATCTGAACGAACTTCTTATAAGACCCAATAATTTATTTGCCTGATTTACCTTCTTCTCGCAATGGCCCGAGAACTTCACCTCATTGTCAACATACACACCTAGGTCCTTCTCACATTTAGTCTCAAATAATGCAGTTTCTTCATCCCGTTGGGACATATGATACGCCTCCTTACCGTTGGTATGCCCCAGGTGCATCCTCTTACACTTCGTGACATTGAATCTCAGCAGCCATTTCTTCGACCATTCCTGGAGCCCACAGAGGTCCTTCTGCAGCTCTTCACAGTCCGCTTGGTTCTTGATTTCCCGAAATAACTTGGCGTCATCGGCAATACACTGCCCTGTGGTACCCCGCTTGTGACAGGTACGGATGATGATTTCGTGTCATTAATCACCACACACTGCTTGCGGTCATGTAGAAAGTCTTCTATCCACGCTAGGACATTTCCCCGAATTCCGTACCCATTCCAGTTTGATTTTCAGCCTTTCGTGGGGTTCACTGTCGAAAGCCTTGGCAAAATCTAGGTAAATATTGTCGATATTACCACCCCGTTCCAGAATATGGGTCCAAATATCCAATACCTTGAGCAATTGTGTTAAGCAGGAGCGCCCCGGCATAAAACTTGCCTAGTTTATAGTACAGACGGGCAAGGGGTGACCTAATTGAGGTGTAAGGCATCTCAAGGGGCACTACTCAGTCGAATGTACATACCTGGAGCTGGCGGACGTCCGCCCCACAAGGGGTCACAGCTCAAGATTGAAGAAGCCGCAAGTCCAGAAAACTGTGAGGGTAACTATTTCGGTGTGAGAGTTGTGAACTCTTAGAACAATCTACCAGAAAGTGTTGTGACGGCACCGAGTGTGAGCTCTTTCAAGACCAGCCTTGACCAATACTGGAGCAGGTTCAAGTACATTCAGGAGCCGGTGCATGCACAGTACTTGCCAACAGTGTGTGACAGAGACGTGACCGATCGCCCAAGCGGCTAACGAGCCGATCAGTGGTGAGGATAAAAAACCAAAGAGGATAAAAGTAAGTAAAAAAAGAAAAGCAGAGACGTGACCGATCGCCCAAGCGGCTAACGAGCCGATCAGTGGTGAAGAGGATAAGTAAAGCAAAAGAGAGGTGCCATTCCTTCAGGGCGAAAGTTAGACATTTAACAAATAAAATTTGAGGACGATTTTGGGTGACTGAACAAACGCGCCGATCAGTGGCGAAGAGGATAAAAGTAAAAGTATACTATACGTCTAGGACGTATCTTTTATAATTCTTAACCTGGCACATGACAACTTGTTCATGAGTAGTGAAGCTAACACTGCCCTTCAATTTGTTCCTCTCATTGCATAGATTTTTAAATATATTTTTTTAACTTCATACTTATTTACATTTCATAATCAAGTAAAAAAATATATTATATTAAATTCGAAGCAAAAAAAAATAGTTATACTGGTGTTTGGTTCAAATGATGAGTGAGGATCAGCTGACGCAGTGTTGCCAACCCGTGATGTACCCGCACCATTGGGCTGCCTTTAAACTGCTTGCTGCGTGCAATACAATGGTGCCGCTGCTTGCCTAAAATTGGGCTTCTTTTGAAAAAGGAAACCTTGGCACCACTAAATCACCTGTTTTTGCAGCGGTCTTGATGAATGAATATTGATTTTTTTCAGGATTGGTAATAAAGGAGGGCACATGACTGCTCATTTTTCCTCTGGTTATTGGCTTACAATCATCGGGTAATTTTAAATTTCGAATGAAATAAGATCTATAGTAGTTTCCTTTCCCACTCTCTTACTGGGGGGCTTAGCGGCTGCTCAGACAGACAGCACCACACAGGATATGTTTCCATTCTTATTTTTGTCATTTAGTGACTATTTAATGCAAAAGTATTTGATAAAGAAAAAAGTATTATTTTCAACAACCTGCTGTTCTCATCCGGTATACTGGTACAAAAAAACAATGTTATTCTCTTCAATAATTTTATATAAAAACTGTTCACTATCACGTGAGAAGAAAATTCAGGACTTATTCTTTGTATTACGTCTTTTTTCTAATAAACCATATCATTAATCCACAGAATTAAACTTAAATACCTTTTAGTGACGATGATATTTGTATTAAATATTATAGAAGTGTGAGACGGCAGACATAACACTAGCCACACCTTATGAGGGCTGTCCACCACTGGCTGTCCACCACTGGCCACACTGACTGAGAGTGTTGTGCCTTACTGTACCTCACAATGGTGGGTTCTTCCTGTACTAATACATTAATAACCATATTACAGCGGTGAGGTGTACTACTGTATCTTTCAGCCGGTGCAACACGACCTGGCCTTACAGCTCTCATGGTAGTCATTGTTCATTTAGGTCAATTAAATAGTTATAAATATAATTCAACTAATCTACTGCAGTGGTGATTTATCTATCCATTTGAACCTTGTTATAAGAGGGCGTAGGTAGTCAAGTTATGTGTTTTACGTTAGTTGTTAACTGTTGCCACCACATTAATGCAGTACTGTATACCTGTACTTGTAACTAGTGTTTTGATTTGAAGTTAACTAACAAGGAGGTCCAGACTCCCGTTTTAGGGGTCCGACTAATTACCCAATTGTAGCCGCAATGAAGTCAAATAATGGTCCTACATGAATAAATCGGACTGCCAATCACTTCTCGATTATTATTTGGTGTCATAAAGTCACAAAAAATTGGTAAACTTAATTTAATCTGAGTTAATAGATCGAGTGCATGTACCTAACCTAACCTAACCTAACACAACTCAGATTAAATTAAGTTTACCAATTTTTTGTGACTATGACACCAAATAATAATTGAGAAGTGATTCACAGCCCGATTTACTCTTGTAGGACCATCATTTGTCTTCATTGTGGCTACATTTGGGTAATTACTCGCTCCCTCGGTACATGCACGCGATCTATTAACTCGGTTTAAATTAAGTTTTCCATTTTTTTGTGACTTCGTGACACCAAATAGTCGAGAAGTGGTTGGCAGTCCGATTTATTCATGTAGGACCATTATTTGACTTCATTGCGGCTACAATTGGGTAATTAGTCGGACCGCGTTTTAGGATTCCTGGTATAAATTTATGGTCAATTTGCACTTCCACCTGTAAGAGAGTCAAAAATATATTTTCTAGTGTAATTGTGTGTATTTAGACCGAATAAGACCTTCATTTCCGTCGGAAATTGACCGTTTTTTTCGATTTTTTTCGTGGGACGTTTTTCGAAAAAAAAAATTATGGCTAAGCGAATAAAAAAGACACAAAAACACATTAGAAAAACAAAAACCTAACCTAACCGAACTGACTCACCTTATGATGGAATCACCTATTTCTTACAGTACAGAAGTACTGTACTGTACAATATTGTATTGCAGTAATGTCATATTATGCCAAGTAGAATTTGTTTCTTACGGACAGATTCTCGCATGGTAAACTCTTACACTCGGAGTTTCAATTTTAAGCATCCTCTTCCATTGATGAGGTTGCTGTGTTTACAACCAGACTTTTAAAACTTGAGTCATGAAGGACACCTCACTAATTCCAATATTATAAGTTACCTTTACCACCACCTCGCTGTCAAGCACTGTTGTGTGGTGTCCTTCATGATTCAAGTTTTTTAAAAGTCTGGTTGTAAACACAGCAACCTCATCAATGGAAGAGGGCAATTAAAAACGTCAGGTTGTTAGTGTATGTTATAGTATAGCATTGTATATATAATTGTTCACATGTAGGATACGTATGGCTATTATTTCATGATTTTTAACTTCCTGAAAATGGTAATAAAGAGTTAAGTCAATAAATAATATAAATTAAATATTGGTTGTGCTCCTCATGTTTTATAGCCTCCTACATTTGGTCGGGGAATTTTTATTTAATTTTTTCATTCTCTTTCTTGACAGCATGGACGGCTGAAAATAAAGACAACAGCTGAACAAGCAGCAGAAAAACAAAAAGAAAGAGAAGGAAAGAGGAAACTATATCTTGGGGGTGTTACAAAGGCCTTTGAAAAGGTAGTGTGACCTTCAGGAATCCCTTCATGTTCTTCTGGTTACACAATATAATTTATTTTTATTTGTTTATTTATTTACTACCAGTGTTTTGTTACAGTTAACCATTTCTTTGTCAACAGCTTTATGTGCAGTAAATTTTGACTTTGTATGCTGCATGATATCCATTATTGTTTAGTAATATGTTAGGAACCATATTGCTGTACAGTGCAGTGTACAGTACTGTTCTCTAACTCCAGCTTCTATTTACAAGAGTCCTGGCAGCCTATATAAATACAAAAAAATTATGTGCAGAATTGTTTGGCTGTTGGTACAGTTTTACGAGCTCGGTCCCTGGTCATTCCCAGTTCACCCAGCTGTAAATGGGTACCTAATATTATAAAGCTGGGAAAGGTGGTCGAGTGCACTGCTGGCAACACTGCTTCCTTGCATAAAAAGGCTCGGTATTTAATCGTTCCTTTTTTAGAAAGCAACAAATTTCTTTTTGTGAGTCATACCTTCTAGCAGTATTGTATACCCTTGATGACTCAAAGTTTTGTGTTCCTAGAGTAAATACAATACACTAGCTTTTTTTATGCTTTGATTATCTCTTCATAATAGAAAAAACTCAAGTAATATGATAATATAATATGCCATCTACCTAACTTAATGCTACAATACCTAAACTAGCCTCTGTAAACTATAGCCGATATATAATAAAAATAACATTATTCCATGTAGGATTTAAACATGAACTGTAACTGCGTGAGTCTTAACCTAAATAACTTTCAATTACGAAAAAAAAAATATTGGTGGTAAAAAATAATAAAGGATATAATTGATTCTAAAAACGTTTGATCATAGTAAATGGTTAGTTAAGATTTACTTGGGTTAACGTATCTAAATAACCTGTGTATATTAACTACAATAATTTGTTTTTTCTCAAGGTTTGAGTATGAAATAATGGACAAATGTGGAGTTATTATCGAAACATTCATCTAGCTTGACCAGAGCAACTCCCATTTTGGCCAATCTTAATTCACATTAAAGAGACGATAAACTCCCTCACAGCTATAATAAAACCAAAAAATATCAACTTTCAACTTTACATACATTATACTGTAGTATCAAAGCTATAATCGAAATTAGCTTTGATAAGGTCAGAATCATCTACCAGCAGGTCTGATGACATTGGACATTGGAGTCTGACCTCTGTAAATCTTGAGAGTATCATAAGAGCTTTAGAAAATTTTCACTGTACAGTACAAGTAATATCTCCATTAGCCAGAATCCCTCAAACCTAGAACTATCCAATAGCCGGAACTGAATTTTTTTTGGAAAATCGTTCCCAGATCCATAATTTTCCGGAAAATTCCGGCTATGGGAATGATTTTCTGAGGGGCACATCTTCCAGAAAATTCCAGGGATGGGGGAGTCTTTTTCGGAAATTGCGAGAAAAAATTTTGGTACCCGGAAAATTCCGGAGATCGGGGATATTTTTCTGGGTTCGAGAGATGATGTATTGGACAATTTCTGGAATTTCCAAGATCATTTTTCTGTTACTTGGAAAAATCCGGAGATGAGGGATTTTTTCTGGCTTTAAGAGAGTCGTCTCGTTACCCGGAGATCTCTCATTCCTGGAAGTGTTCTGCCCCAATTAGTCTGGGTAATAGAGATATGACTGTAATAAATATCTTTTATTAGTAGCATTTATAATTTCTTAGATATATTATATACTGTATATATAGCACAAGATTTTAAGATATCTATATGCTACTAAATAAAACCAATTTTTGCAATAGATTCTGGGCAGCTTCGCCCCTCGAAATTTTGCGCCCAGATTCCAATATTTTTATGAATGCATCAAATTTTATAAATGTAAAATAACTTTTAACATAATAATTGTGTATTGGGGAGATTTTGAGGTCACACAATTCACTTTTAACATACGGCTGTGACTAAGTATTTAGAGTGAGGTTGGTTATTCATCTTTTTGGCATCATTTATAATTTAGATTTTATATTCATTTCTTAGAAATTTTAACTTTGAAAGAATTTATTTATAGCATCTTGGCTGCCCCTTTAATTTTCATTTGTTTACAAGATCACAACAACTAATCATACTATATGGTTAAGAGAGAACTATGAATTTCAGAGATCTTCAGGGACCCATGATGAAGAAGGACTAAAGATAACTGCTCAGCTATTAGCAGCCAACCCTGATGCTGCCACCCTTTGGAATTTTCGAAGAGAGATTCTCTTGGCCTTGAAGGGGTTCGTACTTGAATATAAATTTTCCATTCCAACTTCATATATCCCTATACGGTTACTTTTCCTTCATGTCACTACTGTAATTGTATTTAAAGAGCTTTTATTAATCCACACAATAACTACTACTTCTTTTGAATACAAGGATTCCTTCTTAGCACTTGAGAAACTTTTGCACTTATAGGTGTACAGTAAACCCTGATAACCCGTGTATTTTTATTTCGCGGTCCTCTATTATTCGCGGATGACACCCAGGATGTACTCAAGAAGGTCTACGGGTAGTTTTAAAGTTCCCGGCATTTTTGTAGCCGGGACAGGGAGCCATTCGTTCTAGAGACAATAATTCCTTTGCCTGTATTGTGTGTGTGTGTATATAATATATATATATAATTATATATATATATATATATATATATATATATATATATATATATATATATATATATATATATATATATATATATATATATATATATATATATATATATATATATATATATATATATATATATATATATATATATATATATATATATATATATATATATATATATATATATATAATTATATATAGACACTGTTTGAGAAGTGAGCAGTAGCAAACATTCAAACATTAATCTACATATACAGTAATCAAATTCTATCAGCTTTCACCATTGGGTAAACCCATGTTTTTATTCTTGCTCACACCATTCTTGGAAACTGACTGTTTAACTAAATTGTTGTTGTTCCTTTATCATTCACACTTTCCTTCAGATGAATTTTGTTACCATAATTTCTTTTTGCAGGTTTTACTCACTCTTGGTTGTAATTCTACTTTCAGAGATGATGAATCCTGGGAGAAGCTTCTTACTGGGGAGTTAGCAATGGTAGAAAGTTGTTTAATGAAAAACCACAAGAGTTATGGAGCCTGGCATCACCGCTTTTGGGTAATGATGAATTTCCCCAAGCCACCGTGGAAAGCTGAACTCTCGCTGTGTGACAAGTATCTTAAATTAGATGAGAGGAATTGTGAGCTTTACTTCTTTTTAGTCTTCCATGTCAATAATGTCCATATACTCTATAGTTAAATTGTAGTTATTTGTCAGTAAAGATTTAGTTCATGTAAAATATGCTAAGCCATCTTATTCTCTGCTGTATGATACGTTACATATTGAGTTGGTTTACACAGGCACGTCTCTTACTATACCTCTGTCATTGGATATTGCCTTAACACTATTTATATTTTTAAAGACCTATCTGTAATATTGTAATGATACAAGAAATATTCTGGCTTATTGTATAGCAGGGTTGTGAGGTAATGATCCTAAATATATAGTGAGAGCAGTAACATTAAAAATTACAGTGAATTTAATTGTTGAAGAGATTGCTTACTGGTGCTATATTTTATGGTAAGACCCAAAAATTAGCCATTAATAGGAAGATCAAGACCCTAAATCAGTGGTTCTCAACCTTTTTTGCCCCATGCACCCCTTTCACCATATGTCAGAATGTCATTCCCCCCTCCTTTCCAAGATTGTCTGCCTCAAAAAGTGCATTCCAAATAATATGCATATAATACTGAAAATCCTTTATTTTTTCCATATTAGTATCAGTTTCTGGTTGAGAACCCCTGCCCTAAATGATTAACCAGGATGATGGAAATGGTAAACTTATCCCCGAGTATTGGTGCCGCTGGGTGAAAACTAGAGAACTACATATTTTAAGCCTGTTAATGCTATCATACTTGGTAAGGATGATTAAGGTCAATATATATAATACAGTACAACCTATTTTATCTGAAGTCCATACATCCATACTTATTCCTTTAGGCAAAATTTTCCAATAAAAAGTCACGGTAAAATTTTAAAAGTGCAATCTCGAAATTCGAAAATACAAGATAAGATTTTTACTTAATCCTAAACAGAACTAATGAGGTATTTCCCTTCTCAAATAGATGGCCAGTAATACCTTGCCACATCTAAATGTCTACTGTTAGATTAGTTGTAATTGGTATGGTTAGTTTAACAAACTCATTTAAAATATACAGTGAACCCTCACTTTACGCGGTCAATTGAACCCACGGCGGCCCGCGTAAAGTGAACAACATAACATATGGGATCAATTGAAATAGAGACCGGGCCGACCCCCAAACTCTCCTTTTTCAGACACAATACCTACGTTGTAGTCAAAATAACTTCTTAATTTTATGATGGTATGCACACACAATTAATAATTAAGAGACATATCAATAATATTAGGTTTTTTAACACTTACATTAGTAGAAAAGATGGCTGGGCACACGGGTATGGGGGGTTGGTTCCGAGGCAGAGGGCAGATTATTGGCCCTCACCTGTATCACTTGTATCACTAGCCACCACAGTGGCTTGCAGGGCCTCTTTGTCAAACCCCTCAAAGTCCATATAAGTCCATATCCTCACTATCACTGACTTGGGCCGGCTGTGGTAGGTGGCGGGTGAAGAACTCGGTAATGTTTTGATGACTGGGTGACCTTGTGTGCACCCTGCTCGCGCCGCTCTCTGCGTAAAAGGGTACACACACCGCGGAAAGTGAGCATTCCGTGTTCGGCAGGGTACCGCGTAAACGTGGAAACGCGTAAAGTGGGACCGCGTAAAGCGAGGGTTGACTGTACAGTAAGTGAAGGACTACAAGTTGTTAATAGCTGAATATGGTATTTCAGTTCACTGCTGGGATTATCGGCGGTTTGTAGTATTAGGAAGTAATCAACAACCAGAAGATGAACTTAAGTTCTCTCAGCATTTGATAGAGCACAACCTAAGCAACTATTCTGCTTGGCATTACCGGTCCAAGTTGCTGCCTCTGGTTCATCCCCCACCATCAAATACTCCACACCCAATATCAGAAGGTGCACTTATCAAGGTACTGTACAGTACAAGAATGTTTTCATAGGTCAAAAGAATTTTCACATCAAAATTTCCAGCCAATAACTTATTTTCTAATTGTTCCAAAGGTGAATTTACTACCATAATAATCCTGAATAAACTCTCTACAAGATTGTTAAATAAAAGAGCCTTAAACAAAATATTTTGACAAAGAATAATGATGGGAACTCAATTTTTTTTATGAAAAAATATAAAATAATGTTTACACCAGAGTTGAATATTTTTATTGGTTCACTACTGTTAAGTTAGCACAACAGTGAATCTGTTTTCAACTTAGATGTGGGTGTTTGTCCAGTGCACGTCATGCAGGCGTGGTTTTATTTACTTGTTTACATTTTTCAGTTTATGTACATGTACAGTATGTGTATTTTCACATTCCAGGAGCTACAAACTGTGGTTGAGGCAGTGTTCACTGATCCTTCTGACCAGAGTCCATGGTTTTTCTTGAGGTGGCTTGTCAACAGGCAAGAAAAAGTTCCAAGGTGAGTTTCTGTATAGAGGATGTAAACAAGTCTTTTACATCTGTTAAGTATCTTATGAACAAAATGTATCTGGTGTTAACAATTTTTGGGGGCCTTTTAAGTTAGAAAATATTAAGAAATTGTTTCATTTTTGTATTGATCTTTCAGGATGCTGCAAGTTGGATATGTGAGATATAAGGGAGATTCTGGCTTAGTTATTTGTGTATTCTCACAACCTGTGCCTCAGAGAGCAGTGCCTTTTATTCGTTTGAATGGTGCAGACTCTGATGAAACCCTTATATGGTACGCACCAAATGATGAAGATTACTCCAATGTTTGGGTAAGTGTGATGCTTAGGAGTTTAGGACCAAATTAACACTTAAAACCATCATTCATATTTGTTGTCATTTCTTTGCACAACAAATGGTTTTTAAGGATGAATGATGCTGTTGGGTGATTCTGTATATAGAATGATAAGGGATAAGCTAACTAGATACTGTATTGGCTTTTTTGTAGAAGATGAACACCATTACAGAATGCATTTATCACAGTTGTGAAAGTCAATATATGACAGGAAATGAAGGGAGGAGACCATTAATATACAGTAAGTAATATCCCCATTAGCCAGATGGATTGGTGCAGCGCATCTCTGGGTATTGAGATGAATTCTATTATCTCCGGATTTTTTTTGGGCATTGGTGAATGTTTGTGTGTCTAAACTATGCATCTGGCACGGAGTACCATTGCTGTAGAGGCTTAACTACAGTCGGACACACACACCGGTATTTATGTAAACACTACTGTACAATCAAAGACAAAAGTCGTGTCGTGGTTTTGTCCGAAGATTAAATATATATCTCGTGAAACATTATGAGAGCCTTCTACCACAAGGCAGAGCGCACCAAAAGTTTAGCCCTTCGGCATATGATTTCACCAAATTTCACGACACGACTTTTGCCTTTCATTGTACACACACACTATACTGTACAATTGAGGTGTTGCCTGGAGAACTAGCACAGCAGCACCCAGGCCATAATCATGTTTATGCCTGCAAACGGTTCTTCAAACACTCTAGTTTCATGAGTTGATGGATAAAGTGCAAAAACGCCACTGACCATAGACAAAAACCAAACTCTGGTCCGCATCTCATCTCCTTGAAGGTTAGGTGAGGTTCACAGTATTGTTTCAAAAAATTATTTGCATAATTTACAAACATTGAGCTTCATTTGAAAACAAATTGCAACATTCTAGCTAGAATACTTTCCATGTTATCAATTTCTGAATGTTGCAAACTTTGATTGCATTTCCTGACAAAAAATGTAAATGGTGCTTGTGCTAGTTTCTCCATGCAATGCCTCAATTTACTTTCTACACACAAGCCTACAGTAGGCATACACTGCCCACTCTATGGACAGTACTGTACGTATGGTACAGGCAGTCCCTGACTTATGACAGAGATACATTCCTGGACCCTGATTGGAAGTCGATGTGTTAGTAACTCAGAACAATGTTAATTCCACAGTTTAGGTTAGGTTAAAGCACAACCCTGTCCATTCAAAACAACAGTACTGTTAAATCCCATATATAACAAATAATGTAAATCTGTAAATAAAGTGATGTTAAACAATACAGAATAATGAAAATAATGTAAAAAAAATTATTTGAATTAAAATTTTTTGCGATCAATGTATTCGGATCCCGCTCATAAGTGCGTGGGTTTGTAGGTCAGACGGTCGTAACTCTGGGACTGCCTGTACTTTCACTTATTGAATGTACAGTCCCCCCAAAAGTTCGTTAACCATGGGGTCGATGTGATTCAAGGCTTTCCAGGCAATGTTATTTGATCTGATTCTGAACGGTTGGTAGTTCTACACCCGTGACCTTTGAGCATGAATGAGTATATAAGTTTTGAACATTAATATAGCTTAATGGATGTCTTTTTATAATGAAGTATCTACACTAGTATGCCTTACAAGAACAACTCCCTCCCCCAGTCTTACCCACATCTCTAGTTGTTGCTGATATGGCAGGCAGGCATACCAACTTATGACGATGCATTGGGAATCAAATTGAAGCATTTCATCTAGTGTTTCAAATTGTAGCAACGGAAAATCTAATGATACTTTTTGGGGGGCTGTACATTACAGTATATGTAACTGTAATCACTTTTTATGTCTTAACGCTGCTTTAACTGTATTCTTGGCTGATTGTATCCTGGTACAGTAATGTACAGTACTGCATAACATGATGCTAGAGTTTGAGGAGATAGACTGTGAGATACATGAGCTAATCATTGGCATCCCATGCAGTCAGTCACATGGCAATAGTAGCTAGTTGTAGTGCACGAGCACAGTGAGCCTACCCACCCACAAGCTTGGCATGTGTTGGCGCATGATGCAGTCTCTTGGAAATTTGTGAGAATGCCCTGAACAGAGATTTTTCTCTGAATGCTCAACAAAAAAATTCCTTGGTCATGAAAAGTTCTGGGTTTTGAAGATTCTGGTTAACAGGTAGATTACTGATACTGTACTATATACAGTATATGAATATATATATATATTCATGAAGCTATTTTAACTTAAAAGACTGTTGATGCTACCGGGTACTCATGAAAATTTATGAACAAATCACTGGTAAGAAGGTAATCAAGACTAACTTTTAAATATTTTATGTTCACACAACATGGGGGCAACATAGTTTGATCGTGCATATTTTAGCCCAAATGTAGTGTTTATACTTAGTTGACTGTTAGGGTCATGTGTGTCAAGTGGAGTCATTTCTTGTTATATATTTCAGGTGGTGTTATAAATTGGCCCACCAGAAATACCTCATCATATATTTGTTCATAAAATATTTCTTTCCAGGTTGCAGAATTAAATCTCTCATCAGTTGAGGCACATACTATCTCGCTTATTATTGATCCCTCAATGACTGAGATGTTAAATGTTGGTGAAGGTTCAACTCAAGCTATAGAATGGGTTACAACATTAGAGGTTGGTGGAGAAGAATTGTCAGACACGGCACGGTCAACTTTGGAAGAAGTGAAAGATAATTGTGTCACTTTAGATGAATTGGATCCTGGTAATAAATGTGAGTAATTTAAATACTGTTTGTCAGTTTATTATTAACTTCAGTGGTATGTAAAATTTTATTCTGTTATCTTCCTCCCCAAAATAAAAATCTTAATACTGTAAATTATATCCTAATGACCCTTTTTGATGCATTGATAGGCAAATTACATTCACAGAACTACATTTATAAATACAGGTAAATATATACCAGTACTGTATATATTTATAACTACTGTATTTAGACGTATTTGTTTAAATTTTTTTTTAAATATTTAGTCTAATACCTGCAATAAAATTTGGTGAAGTAATTGTAGAGATCAGGGAGCTGACTTTGTAGGCTTCCAGGTTGTTAGGGAAATTGTGAATATTGTTTGTCAGAAAATGTGTAGTGCTAAGTGTTTAGATCAGTGGTTTCCAATCTGGGTTCCATAGAATAATAGAAATAATAATAATAAAACAAATAAAAGCTCAGAAAATAGTACGTGGCATACAGTACAGTACACAAATTCCCCCAGTAACGTTGTTGTTAGGTTTCTGGAAACCACGACCAAGTGAAAATAATTTCTCATAAACACAATCATAAGTCCGTGCTTAAAGTCGTCCCGCTTAACGTTCTTTCGTTACTATGTCGCTAAACTTTAGAGACCAAGAATTTGTTTAACTGGGATGGTGATCCGATACTACGTCGTTTTGCGTCGTCACAGACTACATTTTACATCACCCGCTCTCGTCTGGCCGTGCTACGCTCTCTCGGCTTGGCGCAGAGTTTCAATGACTCGCCACCCTCCTCTCCCGCCCTCCTCCGCTCCCACCATACTCCTTCCCTCCCGCCATCCACCTCCTCTGTTTCACTACCCACCACACACTCACTCTACCTCCTCTGCCCATCAGTGAGTACCAATTCAAACTTAGTCCTGTAGTTGTATATGTATGCATTATTTTCTATAGTAATGGCAATGATTTTCTGTATATGTAATGTATTTCATGGGGCAATGGGAACATAACTCCCATATTTTATGTATTTCTTAGGGGGAAATTGATCCGCTTAACGTTGTTTCGTATAATTTCGCGTTTTTAGGAATGTAACCCTGACGTTGAGCGAGGACTTACTGGAAATAGGGGTTATTTTCCTTGGGTACATAATCATCAAAATTTTCTCACGACTTGCCACAAATGTTTGTCTTTCAGCACCATCACCTTCTTCTTGTTTTAAAGCTTCAAATAAACTTAGAGCTTTCGCCTGTATGGAGAGCAAACGAACATGATGAGCTTCATTAATGTTGATTCTCAATCTACATGTTCAGCATTCTTTCCATATTTTCCATAATGCCACTTTTGTTACAAGTTAACTGTGCAGCAGATAATGGAGTAACACTTTTAGCACATGATTTGGTATTTTCTACATTTCCACATTGTTCTTACCTACTTTTACTTTTATCCTCTTCACCACTGATCGGCTCGTTAGCCGCTTGGGCAGTTGGTCACGTCTCCGATATGCACTGTTGGCAGATACTGTACTGGGCATGCACTGGCTCCTGAATATATCTGAACCTGCTCCAGTGTTGGTCATATCTGGTTTTGAATGAGCTCACACTCGGTGCCGTCACAACACACACTGGCAGATTGTTCCAAGAATTCACATTTCTCACTACAAAACAATTTGCCCTCACAGTTTTCTGGACTTGTGGTTTCTTCAACCTAGAGCTGTGACCCCTTGTGGGGTGGACATCCACCAGCTCCAGGTATGTACATTCGACCGAGTAGTTCCCCCCTGAGATGTTAATACACTTCGATTAGGTCGCCCATTTGTAGTATAAGCTCGGTAGTTGGAGGCGCTCCAATCTCTTTGGGTAACTGAGGTTCCATAGAGCTGTAGGCTGCAACCCGACAGCTCTTGCTATGTCCACAGCTCACTGTTCTTCAAATCTCTTTACCACATATAATTTAACTTCTATTGTAACACTTTTCCTCTTCTTTCTGTGACCACAACCAGTAGTGTTGCCTAATGCACGTTCAGCACTCATTGTTCTATGGCTCAAATAAATTTTTAATTTGATTTTAAGTGAATGTTGGAAGAGCATTAACAACTAATGAACAATAACAAACAAATATGGCGCCTACGCTGGTCGATAGCCAGCTGTTAGCACAATCCGGCACTGAGCACCTTCGTACCGAATTTTTTAAATTGTTGTACATTTATCATTTTTATAAAAAAATATAATTTCAACATCGTTATAATGAAACTTCGTTGACTGAAGCGACATTAATGGGGGAATTGGTGTACCTGGCCAAGTAAATGTTGGCAACCACTGGTTTGGGTGAATGTGTCTGAATTTTGTAGCTTGGAAAAGAACTTTTTTTGTAAATAAATAAAAAATGCAGGGAGAGATCAGAAAAGTCATTATCAAATCTGGTTAGAGGTAATTTGTTCTTATTGTAATTTGAATTACTGCACTGTATGTTTAGGAGTGTAATTTTACTTGTACGGTGGACTGTATTTTTCTTATTATTATTTGCAGGGGTGTTACTTACCTTAGTGGATGTAATGTGGGCCCTTGACTGTCACACTCACCAAAAGAAGATTCACAGTTACCTCTCTCAACTCCAGGAGCTGGACGTCCTACGCAACAAATATTATGCAGATATGAGTAAGTGGAATTTTATTGCAATATTTTGGCCACCTCAGTAAGCCATGGTAAGCTTGTTACAAACATTTACAAAAACTATGCCTCCCAATCTCCCATACCCTTAAATCTTTGCTTAATTGGCCACTAGAGTTCTTAAGAATTAATCTTCACTTCACTGTATGAAGTAAAGTGATCACAACCCAAATGGGACAGGATAGGTTGTTTCTCATTTGTTGTGTGAGTCAGTAGGGTTTTATTAATGTCATGCTACTAAACTATATCAAGCTAACTATATCAAGCTAGGCATCAATTTGATACTGTACTGTCTTTCTAGTGGGATATGAATTTTCCAGGTCAGTGCATTACCCACTATGTCCAGGTATCCAACATACTACAGTAAAGCCTCTCTTGGGTAATAATAGAAATTGGAAAGGTTAATAACCATGTGTACAGCACATGCAAACAGAAGCTGAAGTGGAATTGTTCTACCATGAAAGTTGTTAAATAGCAACTGCTAGGATTAGTACCCATATTCAGAAGAGAAAGGCAAAGGGATTCACTGCATTTCTCAAATTGCAGAGGCCCAGTGTCTAACCCTAAAGCAACAGTCCATCACAGAACAGTAAACTCCCTCTAACCTGGACTCACTTAATCTGGGGTCCAGCACCAGACGTGTGTATTCCCAACCCGGGAGAAAAACAACCCAAATGCAGTACAGTATGAGGGAAAATTCATGTAAATGGGGGCTGTCACTGTGGTAACTCAACAGCTGCCTCTGAAGAGACAAAAGAACTGTCTTATGAAATATGAATAGTGTGCAGTACATGCAGTCAGTGAGATTAGCAGTAAAAAAAATAAAACTCCACCGTCAGTGTCATACATTCTCCTCCTGCCTCAACCGCCTATCACCTCAAAACTCGGCCTCCTTATGATAAGTTAATACTGTACATGTAATTAATAAGTACAGTACTTAATTATTAACATATACTTTGTGCTTCTATTTTTCAACAGACATAATGTAGTAATAATGTATACCATAAGAAACCCTCTTCTATTTTGTACAGTTCTCCTATCACTCTATTATTATATCAGGCTGCAGCACTGAGTGAAAATGTTTATGGCTAGTGAAAAGTGTACTGTATAAACTTTTATCCACAGCATCTATTCTGACTGTGTTAGAAAGATGAATTTCGTAAGATAATGATCCCGATTAAATTTTCTACGAGTGATTAAAAAAAATCCACAAACAAAAATATTTCTTCACGATACAATGATGGAAACTGAATTGTTTTTCCAGAGTTTATAAAATCAATTCTATTTAGTTAGAAACACCATTTTATCCCAAAATAATCCTGAATAGTTTATCTGTATCTATCTTATATATAAACTCTATATGATACAGGCTATCAAATGGAGGTATTATTAGGGCACAGTGACAGCTAATACAGCACCAAGGGGGTCCTGGGGGTCTGACTCCCCGTCTCTTTCAGAAAATTACAATACTTTTTCTTAAATGCAGTATTGTACTCAGGCATTTTTGTATAGTAAAAAGTAACTACTATTGACCTCAAAATATCTCCTAATATCAAGTGCACATGGCTTCAAAATGCCCATGATATATTGGTCAGATTTCATAAAATTTTCTATGGGGCTTTCAGTGCCCCCCAATCCCCAACTGCGTGGGCGCACTGTGCTTGCCATGTTCCTCCACCCATAACTTCTTGGACATTTCTGGATCTGCCCCTGAGCTCACATGGCTGCCAAACATAAGAGAGCACCTGACAACACCAGCTACTTGATGACTCACTGAGTACAGCTTTGCTGAGAGCCAGCACCAAGCTTCAAAGAGTGTATGAGAGACCAAGGACATTTTTTTCTTCTTTACAGATGGTAAAAAACCCTTAGCAGCTAAAAGTAACTTGATATGGTGGAAAAAAACTCCTGGGGGGGAGGGGGGTGTTAAGTCCAGGGTAAAAATTACAGTAGGTTTGGTGTCTTTGGTAATTTGAATTGGCAATCCCTTCCACATTGAAGTTTTCCACCTTGCAATATAGACAATACAGAACACCCCCCCCCCCCCAATTAGTCCACATTGGAGGAAGTTTACTGTATTATCATTTGATCACTTCAGCAGTAATAATTAGAAGGTGGTAAATAAAGTATTGAAGAAATAGAAGTTGAAGAATGAGAATAATAATACAGTAATTGTAAGAGGCAGATGACCCCAAACCTTTTAGGAAATGGTTACTTTTGGGATGAATTTTATACTTGACCAAATTTCCCCCCATTAGTGACCTTCATGCAGATGTGAAGGTAAATATTTTTCAAGCTTTTGAATCATTAGAGAACATTTGACAAGTAAATAATCATAAATTATTAAATGGATGAGGAGTACAGTACTAAAATCATGCATTCTTTTACTCTACAGTTTGCTGGGTCATGAGTTTCTATTTAGAATGATGTATTATATTTTAATGTGATTATAATTTCCATTTCAGAAAGTAAATTGGCTATGGAGACGTCCCTCAAACAATATAGGATTGTTGCAGAGGTTGGAAGTAAATTTGAACTTTCTGGCCACAGTCTGACCAGAATCACACTAAGCCATCTCCTTGCCAGTACCGCCTCTATTGATTTAAGTCGCAATGATCTTACCTCTATTTCACCCTTGAGCAATCTTGTAGCATGTAGAAAGCTAATTTTGGATGATAACCAGATACAAAACCTTGCTCCCTTAGCTGGCTTGAAGGCTCTGGAATCCCTATCTTTGACACACAACAAAATACAAAGTTTAGAACAACTTAAGGTATTAGAAGGATTATCAGCACTGACAGAACTAAATGTAAGTGCAAATCCAGTATGTGACCTTGACAACACTGGTGAAGACATTAGGAAAATATTGCCTCATATAAAAACATTAATTCTTAGGTGAAAAGTCCATAATGTAGTTTAATAGTTAAAGTTTATAGTATGCACATATCATATAAATATTTTATTTCAGATTCTCCCATTCCAGTCTGTTAAATGCTTTTTAGATGTAGAAAGATTAAAATTGCATCTGCACAAGAACTTGATAACTTGATTTAGTTGTTATATCTTTATATTTGCTCAGCATAATAAGTGAATTTTGCAAAGTTTGTAAGTTATTGGAATAAAGTTTTCCTAATCATAAAATGCTTTAATATACAGTACAATAGACTTAGATGTATATGCCTCAACATGTCTAAAAACTTGAAAGCTTATAAGAAATGCAGGCATCAGTCAAACAACTGAGGAATTTAACCAACTCAAAAGATGTGTATAAGAAGCATACACTTCCAGCTCTTCCACTCCTACTGAACCTATGCACTTTCCTATAATCTCCAACCATAGGGTTGCTGGCGTGTGATCCAATCTGGATGGGAGTAAGGTGTATGGCTCAGACGGAATACCCCCTCGTGTTCTGGGGGAGTGTGGTGAAGTTCTGGCCCCTATGCTTGCTCACCTTTGTCTCAAAATTTTAATTTTTCCTTTTTTGGGGAAGTCTGCCTCAGTTCAGCCCATCCCGAAGAAGGATGACCATTATAATCCCCCTATCACCCCGTTGCCCTAACTTCATCCCTCTCCAAGTTTTTTAAACTATCTTACTCTCATTCTCTCTTTCACCTTGAACGACTTTCTCTTTAGTCGGATCATCAGTATGACTTTCGCCAGGCGAGATCTACTGGTGATCTGCTCTCCTACTGCACCCATCTTTGGTCATCTTCTCTTAGGGATTATGGGGAAACTTTCATTGTGGCCCCTGACATCTCCAAAGCATTTGACAGGGCATGGCAAGTCTTTGCTTTCTAGCTTCCTTAAGAATCTATCCATGGCAGTTGTTGTTGAAGGATTGATCTCTTGCTCTTTCTCTACCAATAGTGGTGTTCCACAGGGTTCTGTTCTTTCACCTACTCTCCTTTTTATCAATGATTTACTTCACACTACGACATTCTTACACAGATGATTCTACTCATCACTCTTCTTCACATTTTTCCCTTCCCCTAATTCTCAAACTACAGAATAGATCTGTTTTAGAGCTGATATTGTTTCATCAAACAATGCGGATCTGTGCAGCATCTCTGAATGGGGAGGCAGAAACTTGGTCATATTCAATAGTAATAAAACACTTTACAAAATACTGTAGAAGATCTCTGGCCAATCACATTTCATGACAATAATTTTGCCAAATTCTAATAGATATGCTAGGCCTCGCCATTTCCTTTAATATGTCATGGAAGCCACTTCCACAATATAGCTAAAGCTGCCTACTGAAAGCTGGGAATGCTGTACAGAAGCCGTAGCTACTTGACTCCTGACCAGTAGCTTCAAGTATATAAGGGATTCATTCGTCCTAACTTGGAGTACTGCTCTCATATCTGGGGTGGATCTTCTGTCCAACTGTTAGATATGGTGGAATCAAAGGCATTTCTTCTTAACTCTCCTCCTTTAGTTGATAATCTTTCTTCCCTTTCTCTTCGCCACAATGTTGCTTCACTCTCTCTCTTTTACAGGGACTTTAATGGGCAATGTTCGGTGGATTTGGCATCTTATGTACTGCCGGCAAGGCCGTGGGCTCGTAACACTCATCTTGCCTGTGGTGCCCACTGTTTCTGTGTGGATGTCGGTCACATTAGAATAACCCGTTATAGTACATCCTTCTTTCCTTGCACAGTCAAATTGTGGAATGCTCTGCCTTCTGTGTTTCTATACTCATACAATGTCTCACTTCAAAAAGCTGGTTTTCTGACATCTTGGCGCAGATTAACATAACCGGTATTCTTTTTCTCTTTTTTTTTTGCCTCCTAGGCCCCATTGTGGGACCTGTGCCCAGGTGGGCTATTCCCCATAAAAAAAATGATAGGGCAGTCACTTTTTTCTTTGTGACCTACCTGGCACAATCCTCCTTTGCATTTATCTTTCAGAATTGTAGTTCCCTAGTTTTCATTCATTGTTTAACCAAATTCTCATCTAGTTTTCTTTTGCTTAATATTACCATCTAATTTAAGAAATAATTGAAATGTACAGGAAAATAAAAATGAGATACTTTGGTGACATAATTATGGGTGAGGGGATATTAACAGAAATATTAATGGGCAAAGTTGAGAGTATGAGTGCCAGGGGAAGGCAGAGAGTTGGATGGATGGATGAATTAAATTAAAAACTGGGTCCCCAGAGATACAAAACTTTTGGAGGATAGAACATTTAGAGTGGAGGACTGTGGTTGCCAACCCTCTGATATAAGGACAGTACAGTATTCTGATTGACCATCTTAATTATTGCTGCACTTTTCTCTATATTGAAGAATCTAACATTTCTTTCCATACTCTTCGTATATGGTTTTAGCCATTAATTTGGTGTCAACTGGTAACATTTAAATTACAGTAAATTATTCGACATATTTTGTGGTTATAAAGGGTTAATAACTCGCTGGTAGCTTACCTAAGGGAAAGGTTTTCCATAAGCCTTTCACCATCAATGACCGAGGCAAATTTTCACTAGGAGACTGAAGCCAATCAAGTACATACTACAGTGAACATCCGCTCAAGTGGAATCTAGTTAATAAATTATGGTTGCATTAGCAAAAATCTGGAACTATCAATGAGCGACTTACCCTGTACTGTATAATGATGAAGAAAGTGGGTCTGTTGAAGATATGGCCTTTCTCCTTTACACAGGTAGGTAGGCAATTTGGCTAGCACTCCACTAAACTGCCTTTACTTTTCCTAACTTGTAAAGTTAGATATCGATTCAGAGCTGTGGGTGTCATGGGATTGAGTAGCGACACTTAAGAATGGAGAAGTGCTGTACCAACTTGGCCTCCATACCCCATGCACAATACAGTCAACCCTCACTTTACGCGGTTAATTCAACCCACAGGGTACTGCGGAAAGTGAGAAACGCGTAAAGTGAACAACATAACATATGGGATTAATTGAAATAGAGACCGGGCCGACCCCCAAACTCCACTTTTTGACGACACACAACTACATTGTAGTAAAAATATTATCTTAACTTTATGATGGTATGCACACACAATTAATAATTAAGAGAAATATCAATAATATTAGGTTTTTTAACACTTACATTAGTAGAAAAGATGGCTGGGCACACAGGGATGGGCGGTTGGTTCCGAGGCAGAGGGCAGATTATTGGCCATCACTTGTATCACTATCCACCACAGAGGCTTGCTGGGCCTCATTGTCAAACCCCTCAAAGTCCATATAAGTCCATATCCTCACTATAATTATCACTATCACTGACTTGGGCCGGCTGTGGTGGGTGGCGGGTGAAGAACTTGGTAATGTTTTGATGACTGGGCGACCTTGTGCGCACCATGCTCGCACCGCTTACACAACATTGCGAATGGCGGGAGGCTTTGATCCAAAAATGGCGCGGCTCGCCAGCCGCTCTCGGCGTAAAGGGGTACACGCACCGCGGAATGTGAGCATTCCTGTTTCGGCAGGGTACCGTGTAAACATGGAAACGCGGAATGTGGGACCGCGTAAAGCGAGGGTTGACTGTATGTATATTCTTAAGAAAATCTATCCCTAAATGGTTCTGATTCACATCTCCCTATCAATGTAAGAGGTGACAAGGAATACAAAAAGACTTGTAATGTGTTTTATTTACTAAACTTGACAGGAAGAATAAATATTTTGTTCATATACCCCAAGTACAATTTATGAAAATATACATTATAAATACTATAAGAATTATTTAAAGCAGTGGTCCCCAACCTGTCACCTGCAGGACCATATTATGGAGCCTGCAAGGGTTTATTAGAAAATTGTGAATTATTTCGGATTCTTTGTAAGAGAAATTAATGAAAATATGTAATAACTTGATACAACTGTCGTGTACAGGACGTGTGTACTGTATTTACCCCAGACCAGGCAGAGAGAGAGTCTTCTCACTGAGGTACACACGTCCTGTTGAAGAGTAAGTAAAAGTATGTAACTGGTAACAGTTAGATGTGTAAAACTGCATTTAACTGTACAGTATATATGAGATTTTTTTCTTGAATGTAGATATAAAGTTTTGGCGCCTTCCACTATACAGTAGAACGTCGATTTAAAGCGATTCAATTTAAGATTATTGATTTAAAGCAACACCCACAATTAAGGACAAGGTTTTGATTTAAAGCGAATCTTTCCTAATTTGCACGAGTGAATCTGGTGCATCATATTTTAAAATTCGCGCCTAATGTTTCTCTGAGCACACCACACTGTCCTAAGGGCAAAGCTGTACTGTACATGTACTCAAAATAATGTACTAAATGATAACTAAAATTTTTGTCTAGTGCAAACTATAGCATGATTATATTCAAATTAATTACTATCTTATAAGAATTCCAGCAAAGTAAATTATATTCACCCTAGTCATTTCTGTGACTTTTATAAACAAAAACTCAATCTAAAGGACATAAACAAATTAATACTTTACTAGACCTT